AAAACTGTACTAAATGACTCGAATCGGTCAACGCAGTGTCTAACTACGAGCGTTGAAAGATTTTTAAATCTGCAGGTTTCTTATAGTTGTTAGTCAGAAGTCTCAATTATACGATTTTCGCGGTCTTTAACTGTTTCTAACTCAGAACAACGTCAACCGATTTCAAAGAAATTTTTAGCATGAGTATAATAAAAATAAAATGATTAAGCAGACGTGAGTTTTATATTTGCTTTTGTCATTCCAAGCAATAGCAAAATTAAAAAGAGGTATTTCAGGAGACTAGTCTTCCTATATATATATATATAATAATTATCCAATTATTATGGAATTGGTCTATATGACTTGAATTTTGTTTCAGACGATATATATATCATAAATTTGTTTCAGACGATATATATATCATAAATTTGATTTATGATATAATTCATATCATAAAAATTCAAGTCATATAGACCAATTCCATAATAATTGGATAATTCCACGTAGAGAAAAATTCCAAATTTCGCTGGAAAACAACGGCCTGCTAAAAGTTGAAACAACACCGTTCGGATAATTGAACCCTTTGTCCGCAGTTCCGTAAATCGAATTTCTCGTTAATCGGCACTGATCGGTGCTCCAATAACTACTTAGAGTTTCGCCGCACTGAAACCGATCGTTTAGTCCGTGTGCTTAGTTTTTCTAAGGGCGAGGCGTGAAACAACGTTTCGATCCTGACGGTGACTGTCGAGAAGCCGAGCCCACCACGACATCCTTCTAAAGAAACGCTACATATATTTCCCTTCTACAGGTGTTTCGCGCTCATTTGTCGGTGTCCGTCGTTCTCGGAGGCGAGGCTTTCACATGCACATAATATCGGTTGCACGATTGAATGGTGAGCGCGTCGAAGAGTAAAAAAGGAGGAGCGAATACCGAAAAAGGCTGATCTCGATTAACCGGTGCACCGTTACTGATTACACGGGATGCATCGGTGCCCTTCATAGTAACAATGTAATACGGTGTATTCATAGCAGATGCACACCTACATCGCGTCGGGATGCCGATGCACGCCGTGGTCTCGCGGTGTTGCTACACGCGCGAGCGCGCGCGCGTGGTGGCCGGAGCGTGCGCGCGCGGAGGAGCGTGGAACCGAAGCCGAAGCCGGAGCCGGAGCCGGAGCCGAAGCCGGAGAGCCGGAGAGCCGAAGCCGAAGCCGAAAGGAGCGAAGCGGAGCCACGGCGCGCGGCGAATGGAGAAAGAGAAAGAGTTATATGCACGTACGACGTACGGTCACCCTGCGATCGACTCACGGGAGTAAAGGTTTTACCGATGGCATACCCCATACACGCAGAGACGAGCATATAGGCAGAGGTTCCCACACTGCAGGCCATGATTTATTGGCCTGCCACCCGCCAGACCTGCTGTCATCATCATCCCATGGTTGGTCCAAGATACAGTGAAGCGTACCGTATATAACTTCCCTTTCTGCACGATCTTCGCGCCATATCGGCTCCTTCTTTCCTCGCGCCCCGACGAAACAGGAAGGTCCCGTTTGATGCCGCTCTACAACCGTCCATCCGCCTTGCTTTACCTTATGCAGCTCTCGATAGCCGCCGTTCTCGACCACAGAGTTAATAATTCGCTCTTCCTTATCTACGCCGTGGCTACTATCTCGGCGTGGGTAGCTCGCGATTCGACCGTTTTTTTCGCATTCTTATTCTTATTCTGTTGCTGCTGCTGCTTCTTCTTCTCCTCCTTCTTCTCCTTCTTCTCCTTCTTCTTCTTCTTCTTCTTCTTCTTCTTCTTCTTCTTCTTCTTTTCGTGCTCCCCCATAGACGCGATCGTGTCACGCAGCGGAGCCGGTGATGGCTGGATAGTCCTGTCGTTGGTCTACGAGTTTCATCGCCCAAGTCGATAATCAGGGTTAGATCCCATCACGGCGGAATTCGTCGCTCGATCTCCTCCGCGCTTTTGGTTCCCTTTTTCTTGGACCCCTTTGCAGGTTGCCTTTTACTTTTCTCTTTGAACTAGGTCGTTTTGTTCCGGAAAATTTTCTACTGTTGTGGGTTTGTGATTTATGTGGAAGTCGTGTTGATTCTGTTGCGCTATGCTTGCCGGCGAGATGTAACTGTTGGTCGGAAGGCAACTCGCGAGTCGCCCTAATAGATGATATTGTTTGATGAATTGGATGGTGTACTTATTATTTAGCGCGGGTACTTTGTTTGTAAACCAGGACGAAAGATGCTGGGGACCGCTGTTTTTGATTATCGAACTCGTATCTTTATAATCGGGCTACGGATGTGTGTGCAAAATGAGAATTCTCTCATTTTTCACGCACCTTTCACGCACAGGAAAAATATACTTTTCTTTCCCTGGTAAGATACGATTTTCTTTTCAATCTTCGGTTTGTTGTAAAATTCAACTGCTCGTTTTTGTCATAGGTGCGTGAAATCCGAGATATCGAGCATTATCTGGACAGTTGCCATTTTACGCTAATTCTGTCGCATCGTCGTGCAATCTAAACGTATACATTATTCATTGAATACCTATGTACTTAAAAATTTCTGGTGTACAAGTTACCTCGAATAAAAATGAAAACATTATTAAGTTTTCAAGAATGTTTAATTCGGTTTTCGAACTTCGGCTTGCACACTTAAAGCTACAAAAGTTGGATAATAATATTATTTATTGTCTTATATACACTGCATCAGTGCTCTTTTAATTTTTATATGGTTTTTATAATTCAACACAATTCGAATATATGAAAAGGTGGATATTTTCCTCGATATCCACACTACGCTAGCAAAATACATAATTTCGTTAAAAGGAGAGAAAATAATTGTCGAATCTCTCGATCTAAAAATTATACACAACTTTTTAGCATTATGTTATCTAGTCGAAACAAGTTATACTTGTATCATCCTTAATATTTGTAAACTTTCTTCAGACACAGCTCATGTTTCAAGCATTCATTAAAGAACATAATAATAACAATATAAAATGTCATCGATCCTAATCAGTTAAAAAGTTAAAATCTTTCCACCTCCAAAAATTGTTATTCGTAACTTATTAAATGCAACGATATCAATTCCATTTTGTGATCGCATTGCTTTTAAAACATATTGTTCTCTTGAGTTAGTAATACGTGGGAAACGCCTGAAGTGGCTCAATAATCAAGTCTCTTTTACGAAATACTTAATACGTGCTTAAAGCGTAGTCATAGGTTAACTTAGGAAGTGTCTATAGTGAAAACGCGGAGGCTTATCGCGGACTACCCCCAATTGCTCTTACTCCTCGAACTTCCTCTTGAACTACGGATTCAGCTTACACCGTTGTAATTACTGTATACATGTTGGCTGCGATCTTGATGCAGCCAGAAAAGCGGCAACTTTTCCTCAAAAAGTTGATTATTAATTATTAAATTGACTAATAATGTTCTCACTTTCAGCCTTTAGTTTTCAAGAAAACTGTTCTTAACAATTTGTCGAGTCGCGTGCGTAAGCATTTATAAGAAGAAACGGTAAGTCATGAACAGACGCGCTGATTCCCATACAGTAGCGCCTACTCGACAGATTTCCGAACTTGGTTACTAGAAGACGAAACTTCGTGTACGAAACTTCATGTTATAGTTGTGGTATAACTGTGGCATAAACTGAGATAGTAAAAATTCCAGAGCGATTTTATACGTTCTGGTCACAAACGTTTGACGAAGGTCTTGTGAATTCGAACGATTAAAACGAGACGAACACATCGACAATTACACAATTTTACACATCCTAAGTACTTGAATACAGAATTGACAGTGGAAGAAGCCATTTTCTTTTGTTGCAGTTCCTCGAAGTATATTTTAAAACACACTTAATTCAATTTATAGAAATTACGAATTAGGAAAAAGTTTTGAACACGTCTTTCTTGAAATGATATAAAATATCTTATAATTAGTTGCTTGGTAGACTACGAAATTTGAGAGTCTTCAGCAATCTTGACGCTACACTGCGGATTTTATGCAAAATAAATATTGCCCGCGACAATAATTGTATAGAAGGAAAGTTAAATAAAGGTGTACTTCTTTCTTGTTTATAGTTTCAATAATTTGAAAGTAATTTAACAAAATTACACTGCAACCGAGATACACAAAACTGTACCATTTTTGCCATATGCTCATAAAATCCGTGGTCTACTTACCGCTATCACAGGAACCAAACTCATCGGTATACTTCGCCAAAAGCGAAACAAGCTAACAGTTCAAATCTTGAGCTTCAAAACAATGCCATTTTCCGAAAAACAAGATATTTTTTCAAACTCACTGTCATTTCAACGAAGAAACGATTTCATTCTTTCGTTTTAAATTGCCAAAACGACTGGAACCGTTCAAAGACTTTGTTCAAAACAATATAGCTTAACGCTTCTTTAAAAGCCACATTATCATGTATTCAATTCCATATAGCGTATACTTATTAACATTATTACGCACTTTAACAGAATAATTTAGGAATCAATCATCTTTCTATTTCCGCAGCTCGTTTAAACGTTTACCGTTCGCGAACATGTTGAACAATTCGAACGAAAACATATCGTACGCCCGAAATCATAATTTAAAACAGTCTCGCAAAATCTTCAAAAAAAAAAGAATAGCGCTCCGAAATACCCTCGGAACCCGATTAATTTATCGATGAAAGAAAGAAGAAACAAAAGAAGGTCTGCAACATTTTTTCGGACGCATTGATCAAACGTATTGCAACAGGCAGGTCGAAGGCGTACCGGTATACGATGACCGAGGGTTAATACATATAAACGTCGCTGTTGATACGTAACCCCGCGAACCATTGGTTCTCCAAAGATTCCCTCGAATTAGGGTCACCTACGTACACGTGGTCGGGCACTAGCACATGCACGACAAAACATAACAACGAGTGTGTACGGTTTGATCGGCCGTGGGGGACGAGGCAGGGTTGAGAGTAAGGGAAAGGAGGTAGGAGCGAGGAGAAGAGAGGGAGGGTTCCTTCCAGAAGATGGGGCAAACACGAAGTCGCCTCGGTAGGAAGCGAAGAGGGGTTATTTCGTTTCGTCTCAGCGTGGTTTCCCAAGCGGCAGCCTCGTTCGCTGACTGGCATCGTCTACCGTTCGGCACACAGTCGAACTCGTTCACCACTGGACGACAGACGTAGCGACGTCGCAGTCATCCTCCACCCGAATAATACCCATTTCCTAGCTGAGAAAAATCGAGCATCATGCTCCGTCACGTATGCCAAATCGGTTTTCTGCTCGTATGTGTGTCAGTGTTCGCGCGTCAAGGCACCGGTTGCGCATTCTGCGAGGGACTGTCGCAGCAACAGTTGCAGCTCCGACAGCTACAGCAGTTGTCCCAGCACCAGGGATACAGGACAATCGGCAGCCCTAAGCCCTTCGGCGGCGAGCGTCCCACGAGGGTGCAGGAGTTCAACAGGACCTGCGTGCTCCACCCCGAGTACCAGATACCAGCCACCCTTCGACCCGGCAACGTATCTCGGTGAGTATTACCCTCTCCCCTTCGTTCATTAACTCCTACCCCTCCTCCACCGGAGAATCGGTTTCGTTTCGATTCGTCCGTCGCGTCGCCGAGCTGATTCTCTCGCGATCATCGACCATCCGAGGATTCAGAGAATTCGAGGTGTCGCGTCGCGTACCTTGCTGGACATTCGTAATACGATTGCACGTTTATTCGATCGTTGCAGAAATAAACTCCGTTATTTTCAACCCTTTGCACTCGCTGATCTTTCTCGAATCAGCTGCCAACAGTCTGAACGTATTTATTCGTAGCAATTAACGCACCGGAGCCCACCACGGTCAACGTTACCGGTTTCTTGTTTTACAATTCTATGTACGAATTTGAAAAGCTCCTTCATTGGAGCAAGTTTCATAATGAGAACTTTACGAAATCTAAATGAATTCGATCCGCTTATGTTTACGAAACAATGTCGGAACTGAATTACTCTGTTCAACTAGTTAGCTGTTTTTGACGAGTGTACTCGTCGTCGCGCAAAACGTTGGCATTTCAACGTGACGGGTGTACTCGTCGGGAACAGCCGACTGATTAAAAAGGATATATAATATACTTTGATATTCTTTATTAAATGAGTATATACAGTGTAGTTACTAGACCGCGGATCTTCACGCAAAATGAAATTCTTCTGCACCGATTGCGAGACAAATCAGTCGAGCTTAATTTTCTTTCTCTTTTTAATAATTTTAATAAGTTGCAATTAGTACACCGACATTCTTAATTGGCTTTTAATCTTTTCACTATATTCAGTTACACCCACGTATCTTTGTTATAAATGCATACAATCTGCGCTCTAATAATTACTTGCACACTTTTCAAAGAGATAAATGGTCGAAGATAAACTAACTGGTTGAAGAGAATTTGCTTATAAGATTGTACCGATGCAGATCGTACGAAACGATAATTTTGAATTTTTTAAGCGGCGTTATTCGAGTGCAGAGGGTTAACATGTCTTCTTACTGTACGGTGGCTTCTTGATTCATTGGGAAAGTGGCTCCTCTATTAACGAAAGCGTTACGAGTGGCTTATGTGCATTTGCAGAAGATCATAACCAGACTGTGGATTTTTATGCGAAATTAAAATTGTCCGTACTTGTCTTAACGTAGTCGTACCGAAGTTTCGTTCTTTTCATCTTTCAACCGTCTTGAATTTCGCCTAATCATTTCTGTCATAAGCGCATAAAATCTGCAATCTACTCACGAGCCGAGTTCTTCAAATTAGAACAGGTTTATTGTTTCCAATCGTGGTTACTTGTGTTACAGTCGGATACAACGTCTGTACAAAACGCGTACGCAAACAGTGTATTTGAGATCGTAATATCTTCGGGATAGTTGACAGAGAACGTTTTAGTTTACACGGTTAATGACCGTAGTGCAGACTAGTGATAAAAGGTTATAGTATAGAAGGTATTGTTTTGTGAATTCTCTCGTTTCACGGTGTTCTGTTGCGCAACAATGAAACTGAGCATAAGGTGCACACGAATTACATATGTAACAGAATACTTTTAATTTCGATTTACGCTATCACGCTTTCATTTCTCCGAGCCTTCCTTCCATTCTGGAAGCTCCCGGTAATTGAGACAGCAAGAAAACGAAACTCTGTTCAACTAACTTTAATACGTTCCTTTATAATGGATTCATGGTTTATTTAAATCATGTATTTGTGTGTTACACCTGTGTTGCATCTACGTTTGTGAATATTTAAATAATTGGTACAAGCGTGAATTAATTGTTTTAGATTTTGATTAATATCCACGGAAACTTGTTCAACATATTACTACATTACAATCTACAATTTATATTATATGATGCATGCATTTAATTTACTCTACACTTTCGTTTACACATCGTGATAACACAAATTTTAAATTTCGATGATCATTGAGATATGTTTCTGTCTTTTCATATTGTTGTAATTTACCTCAAGTAAAATGTAACACGTGCCAGAATCTCGTCGGTTAAATAATTTCGTTTTTTCCAGTCTAAAAATGGAAATTTCTAAATCAATAGAAAATAGCATTTACAATAAAATGCATAGTGGAAATTGTGGTTACCGCGAGTTTGTTTCTTGAATGGTTTCTTGAACGGTTCAGTATTTCCAAACTGAGAATTCTAATAACAAAGAGAGAAACGAATTAGACAAGCGCATATGGTTTTTAATTTCTAGACGAATGAAATAGACAGTAAAAATAAAACATCGTCTGACTGTGGGTAGTAAAAAGAAAATATAATTACATACTGTCTATTACCCATGATCATTAGCAGGATAATTAATTTTAATTAATGCAGATAATAGATGTTTTATCGAAACTTAATATTCTATTATGGAAACTATTACTTGGCTCAAATATTTTATATATTTATATACTGTGGTTGAGACTTATCAGTCAAAATATAAATGATTATTTTCACGAACAAGTACAGAAATTCCCAACTTTCAATTATTTAACAAGCGAGTCTTTCTTTTCAGCGATTTACACATTGTAGTTGCAACCTTTTGTTTTATATAAAGTTAGACGATCTTGGTTTTATTATAGTGAAATGAAAATCACGTTTTACTATTATTTGGAATATAAATTATCTGATTGCTTTTGTATTGCAAATCCTTCGTCAAGTAAAACAATTTGTATATACACACATAAATTATTAAATAAATGTCAACTGATTAATTATACACTGTAAACCAGAAAAATTGAATATCCGTAGAATTAAATCTTTGAAAGTAAGACATTTCTATCGTAGAAAATGATTCATTTCATTATAATTGAAGTTAATTTATTGAAGCAGAAAGTTTAAAATCAAATGTAGTGGATCTATGATAAAACGCTTAAGTAATACGTCATGGATTTCCTTATAAGAAGAACTGCTTCGCATTCATGTAATGCAGATATTACATTTCAATTCATTCGGAATGCGAGACCCTTAGACCGGACAATATAACAGAACACAGATACCTGCAAATTGCATTACCGAGGGCGCATTACTCTTCTGACTATTAAGTGACCGAATAAACTAAAATTATTACTGCGTTTCTAAAGACATTGCTTTCAGCAGATCATTATTTTTTACCCTTTAATATAAACATTCCTATGCAATTTTATCGTTTTATTTCTTAGATTACTGAAGATTTTGTGCACTTGTGACAAAATTGAGTACGTGAATTCAAGAATGTTAATTTATTAATATCAATGTACTAAAATTATTTTAAAAAAGAACTTTCTCTTTGATTTCTAATTGTTGTAATTAACGCGAACAAATATTTTTAGTAGTGTAGAAATTGAAAAGTACATTTTATGAAGAAAATAACAGTTTTTAATCATTTATAGATAATATAAGCCAAAATTTATATGAAAACGTTAAAGATTCAGTATTCGAAAGATATTGGTCTACGAAAATTTTCCGTATTATGGTTTCGCAACACCGTGAACGCGGTAAATGTTTTGCAGTAATATATATGCGCAAACAATATACATAGTTGAAACATTTATGTAAATAACAAGCTAACAAATGTCGATAGGTATCATCCACTTGCATAAAATCAGCAGAACTTCTGATACTTTTGTGCAGCAGTGTACAATTAACGTACATTTGCAAACATTTCGTATAGTATTCACTAATTGTTACGCACGGTTTCAGCATCCGTTTCACTTGCCGAAATATATAAATGAGCACATTAGCAGTTCGAATGATTAGTTAGAAAATTTCGCACGCGATCATAACGTTAAACTGACTATAAACGTTTCTGTAAATTTCGCACGATTATTGCCTCTCATTGGAAATGAAGTTATCATTTTGACGAGAAACTTTTCCCCCGACGTGATCGCGCTTATCGTTAGTTTGATCTAAAATTAAACGAATCTTAAGAAAGGTGCATTCACTTTTCTCCGAACTATAGTAACAATTCGTGTGAATTTCGTTTGCGCCACAGAGCTTGTTTATCATGCACGTGTACCAGCGTTCATGGAGCCTCGAACGTTTATACGCGGACGTCACGCACCCTGTACAGTGTTTCATCAACCGTGGTACGGTACAGATTTTGCAAAAATGCAATTTGACTCATTCTTCTACTGAATTATTCTACCCAACGCAGAAGTTATCATAATTAAAAAATTACCGGGATCGTCATATTCATTTTTGTTCATACATTTCCGGAAATAGAAAATACTGTGTTCTATAGAAAATTGGGTAGAATATTTGATTGCAATGAAATAAACACATTTACCTATACATCACGTGTGCCAAAATATTAATTACACTTTATATTACCTCAAAGACATATTGTATTACACATTTTATATTAATTCATTAATACATATATTTGATATTATCTCGAAAACTTATTACATTTTATATTACTTCATAAATATATTTCATATTACCACCATTTTATATATATTACTTCATAAATTAATATATTATATCTTTTATTACCTAAAAAATATATTACATTTTATGTAACTTCATAAATATATTTAAAATTACCACCATTTTATATTACTTCATAAATTAATATATTATATCTTTTATATTACCTAAAAAATATATTACATTTTATGTTACTTCATAAATATATTATATTTTCCATTACCTCTTCTCCATTAAGTAGACAATAGAATTTG